ATGTCTTGAGTATGTTGCTCTTAATGTGTGATGTGTGTAGCCTTAGTAAAGCTGTAGTAATAGTATATATTTTCTAGAGGTTTACCTAATTTTTTGATATCAGTTAATCTCTTAAATTGTTTCGTTTCAATAATTTTCAAAATCAAGGGATGGTCAATAATTATGTCTCCAAAATTATCATCTTCAAATACATCCCCCTATTATTAGAATTAATATTTTGCATGTATAATATACATGCTTACAAAAGAATCCTTGTCTTTTGGTGTTCCTATGCAAATTGTATTCACATTAGAGATATTATCTTAATTTTTAAGCTTAAAACTTATAAAATTACCTTGAATTTGTTTTTCTTTCTTGATTAGTTGCCAGTTCATTGTTGTTATCTTCTCTTGTAATAATTCTATTTCTTTTTTACTCTCAGCTATAATAAAGTTTTTAATCATGTTCCTAATCAATTAAACTAGTTAATAGCCTGACCGTGTACTTCATTGACTTCATTATCTTTTTGTTTTAATTCTTTTTTTAAACTTTCAATTTCAAATGCCATTCGTCGCTGTATTGCTAAAATTATCTTACATAAAAATAGAATTATCAAAACTTTTATTAACTTTTATGAGTTGACTGTAGTGTTTCAGTTGTTTCAGCCTCTTTACTTTGTATATCTGTATTAATGAATGAGTCACTATCTCTATTATACCATTATACATACCCTCATTCTCTTCCTGATGAGATGCTCTATCATGTTTTTCAATTGTACCTACAATTGATCCGCTTTCTGACTGTTTGATTTCTTTGTGATTTGAATTTATTATTATAATATTATGTTATGCAAACTTGTGTATACCGTCTTTCTCTGATTGAAATAAAGCAAGCTGCTTTTCTAATATTTCTTTTACTTCTTTCAAATTTTAATTTTCCTATATTACCATTATAATCAGTAATAAAATAGGTCAAACTTCTGACTAACTTCTTCACGTTCTGTTAATAGTGATACTTTCTCTTTTAGTAACTGACTAGTCTCAGCTAATTAAAATCAAATAAACTATCACAATAAATTCTTCTTTATACCTGCTATTTTTTTTAACCTCCCACTCTCTGCTATACTGGCAGTCAGCATTTTGTTTTTAGTATCCAGCATTTCTTTTAATGACTCTGCTTCTTTCTTCATTATCATACTTTCCTGTAAATTAATAAATTAAGAAATGATGCAAATCATGGTTCATTCATTCATGCTATATACTTCATGTAAATATTATTAGAAGAGCTTATTAGTCATACCTCATTTAAAGTAGTAACCTCCTCTTTACTATTAATCAGTTGTACACTCAATGACAGCATCAATTGTTTTGATAAGCCACTACTAGTTGATAATGATGAGGTGTATTCATCTATTTCTGTTGTAGTAGCAGTGGAGGTGTCCTTTACCTGTTATTAATAATAAATATCAGTTAATAAAATAATCTATTTTTTACCTCATACACAGTGCAGTATCCAATGGTTAATCTCTTCACTTTGTTTTCTTTCAATACATCAATATTATTAAGAGCAGCTGTAATTAACTGCTCAGATAGAATCAAAGGGAAGGAACAAGTGATAGTGAAAGAATCGCCATCTCTAACGACATTTAACTTGATGCGTCTGCTATTTTGTGGTGATAGTTTGTGAAAAGTATTAGCTGCTAATCTCCTGATATCATGCAGTGTGCAATCATCAGTATTTTGATCAACGACAATGGTAATCCTTTCACATTGAAGTGGTGAAGCATATGAAAACTTTTCATTCAAGCATTTACTAAGCTCTGTTTCACTAAACTCTTCTATATAGCCTTGCTATATTTCTGAATAGCTACCTTAGCCTCCTCTATATTGAGCTCATTAACAATAGCCTTTAGCATTTCTATATCATCCAGTGAACAATCTTTCCTAACCAATTCCAAGATGTCATGAGCATTATCACACTGAGCTACTTGAGGCTTTAAATCTTCACTGTAATAGATCAATGCATTCTTTATTTTGTCAAGTGTCAAAGGCGGACATGCTTTTATGATTAATTCAACTTCATCAAATGTAAAAGAAAGCTTCACTCGCATTGATTTAAACTTTGAGGTTATGCATGGTGGAAGATAAATTTCATCTTGCTTAGCTATTTATGGACAGTTTGAATAAAAGTTAATACAATACTCTATTATACTTGCCATTATTATCCTGACTTTCATCCCAATAATAAGCTTTTCCTAAAAGAAATAAGTGATATTATATTATGCTGGAAATTTTTACTGTATTCTCTCATGATGGTGTTTCCTATATTCATTGTGGCTGTATATTGAAGTAATATTCTAGCAAACACCTCCAGCTTATTAGAATCATTGCAAACAGCTTTTACAATTTCAATTAAAAGCATATCCTCTTCCTTTTTAACACACACAATCTCATTTATATGCATCTCTGAATGCAACAATGGAGCCAACTTAGGTAATGCAGACACAAGAGATTGGTTTGAGATACGAGCAAGAATTTTACAAGCAGGATGCTCTAAAATAAATAAACTTGTAATGATGCTCATTTATAGTAAACATACTTTCCATAACTAACATTCCTTCAGCTGCTCTCTTCTCTCCTAGTTTCCTCAATGCTGATACCAGTGAAAAGACTGTTGGACCACCTTTCTTCACTACTCCATCATCAGCTTTCTTCAGCCATGCTTTGAGACACTCCCGCAGACACGCTAAAACATCTTCTTTATTATTCTCTTTGATAACATCCAGTGTAGCAGAGGATAGGCCAAGATAAAGACCAAGATTATAAAAGCTGACTCCTGAATAATCGTGTCTTCTGAGTAAATCAAGCACCTCAGCAAGATCATTAGCTAATAAATAATTGGATTTACATTAAATGAATTACGAAAATACTTTTCAAATGATTTGGAGGTTCTGCTTGAGCAGGAGAAGACAGTATAGTACCCATACAGATCACGGGACACCGACAACGCTAAACTTACTTAGAGCATAGACCCTTTGGTTAGAGCGGCAATTAGACTTGAACAATAATAAGCTTAATTGCATTCCAATCCATTGGTATCACGTGATGAAAAATGGCGGGTTCGGTTGATGGTTGTGCTCATGCTCTTGGCGCCAGATGTGACCAGGGTTGTTGTAAATGTAATTCTAATTGTAATTTTAATTATAAGGATTATGCTATAATATATCTAATCATAGATTTAATACACAGACCGGGATTGGAAACTTCCCCGTTTTAATTTTATTCCGTGCATGATCCGTGTTGTCGTTGCTATGGTTATTATTACAGTTTATTAATAGTTATTAATGAATAAAATGGCCATCGGTGAACTT